GAGGAACCTGTGGGACTATCACAAAAGCTCTAAGATTCATATCCTGAGAGTGCAGAAGAAGGAGAGAAAGGATATAGATTTAAACAGTATCCTTAAGAGGTAATGACTAAAAATTCCCAAATTTACATATACCTACAAATTCAAGAAGGTAAGTAACCCTTTATAAGCAGAATAAACCTAAACAAATCCACACCAAGATTCATTACAATTAAACTGCTGAAAACTAAAGACAAAAACTCTTAAAAACAGAGAGGAATGGCACATCACTTGTAAAGAAAACAACAGGTTTCTTTTCTGAAAACAATAGGTTTCTTTTCGGAAAGTCTTGAAAGAAAAGAAGCATCAACCATGAATTCTGTATTCAATAAAATTATCCTTAAGAAATCAAGAGGAAATAAAGATGTTAACAAAGGAAAACTAAGAGACTTTGTTGCTAGCAGACCTGCCCTTGAAGAATGGCTAAAGGAAGCTCTCTAAACAGAAAGAAAATAATAACAGAAGAACTGGAACATCAAAAGGAAAAAAAACAAGGAACGAGTAAAAAATCATGGGTAAATATAATAGATTATCCTTCCCCACATGAGCTTCTTAAATCATATATGACGGTTGAAGCAAAAATTGTAACATCTGTGTGGCTCTCGGTATAGATAGAGAAAAGACTAAAAGACCATTATATTTAAAAGTGGAGAGGGTGAAGAAACATAAATGGAGGTAAGGCATCAATAGCTCACTTAAGTGACAGAACACCATTATCAGCAGACTGTGCTAAGTATAGATATTGTGATATCTAGAACAACCACAGAAAATATAAAGACAATATGCTCAAAAACTGCAAAAATAAAACAAGATGGAATCCTGAAATATGTTTAAGTGACCCATAGGAAACCAAGAAAAGATAAACAAAAAGAAGGAGAAAGGAAATAATCAGAACACATTTTAAAAATTTAAACCATAACCACTCAGTATGTTCTCTGACCACAATGGGATTAAAGCTAGAGATCAATGACAAAGAAAACTACAACTCCCTTGGAAATAAAGAAACTTCTGAATGACTCACCAGTCGAAGAAATGGTGAGAGCTATTAGAAAATATGCTGAACTGAATAATAATGAAAATAATACAAATTAAAACTTGTGGGATGCAGCTAAAAGCCATGTTTAGAGAGAGATTTATAAATACTTTGGAGGAAAAAAAGTCTAAAAGTTAATGATTTAGGCATTAGAAAGTTTAAAAAGGAACAGCAAATGAAACCCAAAGAAAGCAAAAGGAAGAAATAAAGATAAAAAAAATTACTGATACTAAAAAAAATAACAGAACTAACAAAGCCAAAAATTGGTTCTTTTTTCAAAGACAATACTGATAAATCCCTGGGCAAGACTATGCATGAAGTGAATAGAAGCAACACAAATAACTAATATCTGGAATGGAAAAGAGATATCACTATACATAAAATAGACATTAAAATATCATGAAAGATATTCTGAACTTATGTCAATAAATTGGAAAATTTAGATAAAATGGGGGAAATTACCAAAAAACACAACTTTCAGAAATTGATAAAAAGAGAAATGGAGAATCAGAACAGTACTATAGTTATTAAAGATATCCAATTGGTAATTGAAATTTTCCCACAAGGAAATCCCTGGCTCAGATGTATTCTACAAAACATTTAAGAAAGAAGGAATGCCCACCGTACATAAATTCTTCCAAATAATAGAAAATGAGACAATCCCTCCCAATACATGTTGAGACCAGATAGCTTTTATAACAAAACTTGACAAGGATACTGAAAAGAAAATTACTGGCCAACTTCACTCAAACCCACATGCAAAAAATCCTAAGTAAAATATTAACAAACTGAATACAGGGATATATAAAAATGATAACATATTATAAGCCACTTGTGTTTATTTCAAGAATACAAAGGTGGTATACATTGAAAAACAATCAATGCATTTGCCAAGTTAACAAAATAATGAAAAAAGTCATATATTCATCTCAACAAAGAAAAAGCATTTGATAAAATTCAACATTTATTCATATTAAAAAATAAAACGCTCTCCTAGGAAACTAGAAATAGAAGAAAACTTCCTTAATCTGATAAAAGTTATCTATATAAAAACTACAATGAACATCATAGTTAATCATAAATTATTAAAAGTTAATAAATTATGAAATTAGACATGGATGCTCATTATCACCACTTTTAGTTAGCATTTTACCGGTGGTGGTAGCAAGTGCAATGAGGCAAGAAAAAGAAATAAAAGACATAAGAATTAGAAAGAGAGTAATAAAAGTGTCATTACTTGCAAATGATACTATTGTATAAATTGAAATAAAACATTAGGATTAAAAAGAGTTTAGCAAAGTACTGAATTTGTACTTACCAAAGGCATTTAGCAAGTGCTCAGCAAGGTGGCTGAATACCAATAAATATACAAAACTCAATTGTATTCCATAATCAGCAATAACCATTAAGATTTATTTTCAAAAAGACTGCTTATAAGAGCATCAAAAAAGTCAATACCTAGAATAAATGTAATAAAAAATGCACACGACCACTGCACAGAAACCTAAAACTCAATATTGAGGGAAATTAGAGAAGGCACATAAATGAAAGAATATTCTGGATAGTTAGACTAGAAGATCCAGTGTGGTAAAAATGTCAATTATTTTCAAAGCAATCTATAAATTCAACATATTCCCAATAAAAATCCTTACATTTTGGGGCAAGGAGAAATTTGAAAAGCTGATTCTAACAATTTCAATGAAAATTCAGGATAAAAGAAGCATGGGGCAAAACCAGCCAAGACTACAATCAAATCAAAGGGAAAGACTTACTCTACTGGATCGTAAAGATGTTTTATATAGCTACCATATGACACTGTTATACTGTCACAAGGACTAGTAGAAGAGTGTCTAGAATCCAGAAACAGACATGTACATACAATAATGATATATGACAGAAATGGCACTAAAAAACAGTAGTGAAAGGACAGTTTTTCAATAAATAGCTCAGGGTCAATTTAATTTACATATGTAAAAATTATAAAAATTGACTCTTACATTACACAAACTTCAATGCCAGGAAGATTATAGCTCCAAATGTTACAAGTAAAAAATGAAGCTTTTAGATAATAACATAGGAGAATACATTCATGAGATTGAGGAAGGGAAAAATTCTTAAAGAGGACACAAAAGCAGTACCATAACAGAAGAGATCAACAAATTTAAGTATGTTCTAATTTTTTCTGTTCATCAAAAGACAAATTAAGAGAGTGACAAAGCAAACAACATGGGAGAAGGTATTTGCAACATATAGACCAACAAATGGCTTATATCTAAAACTTATGAAAAACTTGAAAATTACACACACAGACACACCACGCACATTCCATATGGCTGGGTCAACCAGCTACATATATAGACATGAGAGATATTTAATTTTAAAGCAAGAAGAAAAAAGCATACATATACTATGAATACAGCTTAATTAAACTGCCAAATACTCTTAATTTTTTACTAAAATGACCTCTCTACTAAGTTTATCTCTCTCCCATCAATCAACTTTTAGTCTTCTTGTTGTTGTTAATCCGCACCTGAAGACATTTTTTCCATTGCTTTTTCAGAGAATGTAAGGGAGGGAGGGAGGAGGGAGAGAGCGAGAGAGAGAGTGAGAGAAGCATCAATGTGTGAGAGACACATTGACTGGTTGCCTCCCGAATGTGCCACAAGCGGGGGTGGGGGGGGAGGGGTGGTGAAGGACAAGGGAGACCTGCAATCTAGATACAGGCCCTTGACCAGAAATCAAACACAAGACTCTTTGGTGCACAGGCTGAAGCTCTAATCACTGAGCACACCATCCAGGGCTCAACTTTTAGTCTTTATAGCCAAACATTTTTTATAAATTAATTTGGTTTCACCTTATATAAAGCTTACTATTTTTAAAAATTGTGTATGTAAGTATCCTCTATCATGGAGAGAATTTCAGAAAGTATAGCCAAAATATTGTGATGATGGCCTCTATGCTAAAATCTAGATTTCTCTAGCTATTTCAGGATTCTCTATTTTAGGAAGACATTATCCTAAAATATCTGAATTTAATAGTATTTCTATACTTTTGCCCATATTTTGAGTCTTAAGCAAAAAAAATTTAAGTCAAATACTTAATAGCCTTCTTATATTTAAAAAAATCCATTTGGAATACAACTATTTTAGTCAGATAAATCTGGTGTTCTTAATTAAAATCCTGCTAGTAAAATTTTCACAAATGTGTAGTGAATCAAACCAGTCATATCTCATTCATAAACAATGTGCACAATGTGTTGGTTCTACATAATCTGCATCAAATTTGAACTGGTAACTATGTATCTTTATGGTTAAGAAAGAGAAAATATTGGGTTCACTTATAGCTCTGTCATTAATTAGCTGTGTTTACTTGGGTAAATTGCTTTATTTCTGAATCTCAGAATTTGCCTGTACAATGACAGTAAAAATTCCTACCTCCTAGGTTCTTAGAAAGATTAAACGAGATAATATAACTACAGCTCCTTACAGACTGGTTGGTAAACAGAAAGCACTCAATATAAGAAAAGAAGAATGTTGCACTACCCTGGGATATACGAATGGCAGGAACGCCAAACCTATAAGCACTTATACAAAAATGGAGATATGTGCCCTGGCTGGTGTGGCTCAGTTGCTTGGAGTGTTGTCCCGTGCACAGAAGGGCCTCTAGTTTGATTCTTCGTCAGGGCATATACCCAGGTTGTGAGTCTAATCCCCAGTTGGAGTGTGTAAAGAAGCACCCAATCAATGTTTCTCTCACTTCGATGTTTCTCTCTCTCTCTCCCCCTCTCCCTTCCTCTCTCTCTCTAAAAATCAATAGAAACATACCCTCGAGTGAGGATTAAAAAAAAAAATTCCGCTGCTCTTAAGCAACATGTGATATATTAGTTAATAATAATATATGTAGAGTTTACTGCTTTGCCATTATTAGTTACCTGCAAGATTGTCAAGCATGAAGTTCAGTAGCTTTCGGGTTCCATCTGGGTCCTGGTATAAATTGAGAATATCCTGTGATAAAGGATTGCCTAAAGCAGAAGACAAAAATATAATCTGTAAGACTTGTAATAGTAAGACCAGACAAAGGTATACAATGACAAATAATAATTTTCTATAGTGAATTTTATTATATTTAATCTAAACATAAATGTAAAGAAAAGTAAATTTAAAGAAATGCACCCCTATGTTCATAGCAGCACTATTTACAATAGCTAAGATCTAGAAACAGCCCAAGTGCCCATCAGTAGATGAAAAAGCTGTGGCACATTTATACCACAGAATACTATGCAGCTGTAAAGAAGGACCTCATACCATTTGGGACAGTATGAAAGGTCCTGGAGAATATTATGCTAAGCGAAATAAGCCAGGCAGAGAAAGATAAACATCACATGTTCTCATTTATATGTGCAATCTAAAGAACTTAATAAACTGATGAACAGAAATGATTCAATGACATGGAAGCATGGATCAGACTGATGAATCTCAGAGGGATGGAGGGGGGTGGGTTGGTGGAGGGGGAAAGATTAATCAAAGAACTTATATGCATATATGCACAACCCAAGGACACGGACAATGGTGTGGAGAGAGAGTGGGTAGGGGGGTGGGGTGGGGTGGAATGGGTCATTGGGGAGAAAAAGGAACATCTGTAATATTTTGAACAAAAATTAAAAAAAAATACTCTGTTAGGATACTGATAAAGAAAAACTTCAAAAGTTATTTCTTTCTACATTTCACTACTTATACTATTATCCCTAAAATTTACATTTGTCAAAATCACAAGTATACATACATATATAACCTTATAAATATTAATCTTGGTAAATTCTGAAGTATTATCACAACTTGGCACTTGAAGTAACTCTTAACAGGTTCTACATTTATCTTTGAAGACATCAACGTGAGAGACACATCGATTGGTTGCCTCCCACACACAGGGTGGGGATCGAACCTGCAACTGGGGTATGTGCCCTTGACCCAGAATCAAACCTGCGACCCTTTGGTCAGCAGACTGACATTCTAACCATTGAGCCATACCAGCAAGGAGTGAAGACAATATTTTAACTGAAAGACAAAAAGCCCTGTATGAAAAAGAATGAGTGATAAAAAAAAGAGGAAGGGTCATCCTAGTTGGAATAGTTATATTACATATGAGAAAAGAAAGATATTTCAAGAGAAAAAGAAAACCTGTTACCAAGATGAGTTAATAAAATGTGAGAGGAAAGTAATGTTTTATGATTCTAATCAGGGATACCTGAGTACTAAGAGTACAGACTTATCAGATATCAAAAAAACAAGCTTATTGTTAACAGTCTCTATATTCCCTTAAGAAATAAAGGAAGTATTTGTTAAGACAAGCATACAACAACAGTCTGGCAAGATTTGAAAAAACAAAACCATGGAAATTCCAGAAATGAAGGTTCTAACTATTAAACAAACAAAATCTTCAATGCAACACCCACCCACCAAAATGGCTAAAATTTAAAAATATTAACCACCAAAGTGTTAGAAATGTGGAGTACTTGGAACTCTGATAAATTGCTGATGGAAGTGTAAAATGGTACAACTATGGTGAAAATCTGGTTGGCAGTTTCCAATAGCCTTGAAAGTAGGAAAAGGAATTCTTCTGGGATGACAAAATGTTCTGTATCTTGAGCTAGGCAGTGGTTAGATGTGTGTATAGTTTTATCAAAATTAATCAATAATTATACATAAGTATAATTATAACTCAGTAAAAAACTGAGGGAAAAAATGATGAAGAATGTGTCAGGTGGAGATTATACACAGCTAAAAACAAAATTAGCGAACAGAAAAAACAGCAAAGAAATTACCCAAAAGGCATCATTAAGAGTCAAAAAGATGTAAAATATGAGATAGTAAAAGATGAGAATTAGAATAAGAAATCCTACTATACACTAATTGGAACTCTAGAACGAAACAACAGGACTTTGGTTTCTGGTCCAATATCTAAAGAGCTTGGAAGCTGTCACTCCCATCCTAATAAATGAGGTCATAGGGTAAACTGCTACCCTGAACACAAACAGGCAGATACAGAGATCACAGCCTAGTAGCAACAGAAGCCCAGATGCAGAAGCCTAGAACTAGAACTAGTATTAGTTTGAACACTATATATAATAATTGACAAATTGGTAGAGGCTCAGGGAAGATTAGCTTGAGAGTTAAAAACTCAAGGGGACCTAGTCTGAGGGGCCCCACACTCCTGAGTCCTACCTCCAGAAGCCCCACCAGGTTCTTACTATAAAGACTGGAGAAAAGCTGCCTGTTCTTGCAGGAAGAGGGGGAATGTAATGTTCTCTTTAATAAGTCCTATCCACAAGGAAAGTATTTTACCAGAATATGATAAATTAGGGTCTTACCAAAATCTAACCAATTGGGTTAAGTGAAACATCAGACATTCCAGGTCCCTGTAGTCTAATGTGGGTGAAGGTGAAACCAACTCAGGCTCACTAAAAGACTGACACCTAATCATAGGCTCCAGAACTCTAACTCAAATATTTAACTGCAAGCCTTAGACCCTATTTAAAGAGTCTCTGGGAAAACCCACAGACAAGAGAGGAGATAAAAACAAGGACACTGGAGGAAATTTTGGATTCTAACATATAGCTACTACAGTAAATAGTAAACACAGTCTAACTTCTCACCAGAAAGAGAGTTCAGAAAGAGAATTAAAAGAGGCAATACTTGAGCGGGGGGGAGGTGTGCACAAAAGGCTGCAAATGTTCAAAAGCTCATTTAAAAAAAAAAGAATAAACTAAAACATGAAGCACAATGTATACAAAGAAGTTTATGAAAGGATTTCATTTTACATCATACTGAAAACTAGAGAATGCCAAGAGCAAGCAGAAGACTTTAACACCAGATAGGAAAAAAGGGCCAAATACTTCAAAAGAAAAAACATGAGAATGGCAACAAAATTCATTAGCAACAATGGAAGCTAGAATGTAGAGAATAATATCTCCAAAGATTGCATGATGGTATTTGAAACTTTAACATTCCTCTACTGGTTATCAACAAAAAAAATCAGTAAAGATGAAGACCAGAACGACTCTATCAACCAACTTGATCTGGATACCATTGTAATTAGCTAATTATTAACAACAGGAAAGGAGTAAAGGGAAGGCCAGACATTATAGACATGTTTCCTGCAAAACATCAGGGGAAGAAGACTGGATGAAAGGAACATAGACATATGCCCAGTAAAACTGTGGTGACAGGGAAGATACTTGCCTGTCAATCACACCTGGAGATAAAGGTGGTTGGCCAGAATGGGCATGGCCACTGCAAGCCCATGAATATTTGGGATACTTAATTCCTTGAACAAAGAAACTCACTATATTGTGCTTTTGGCACATTGCACTTGACTCCTGGTTTGTGGGGTTCTTTCACTTCTATTCCTTTGCATTTTTCACACACAATGGACTAATGGACTGTAGCTAGCCGGAAAGAAAATTCTGGACACTGGCTTGGCTTCTAGTCTACTGAAACACCAGTTATACTTTTTCTGTAACTAGACAAAGAGAAATAGAACTTTGGAAACACCGGGGTTTAATTCCATGCAAATAAAAACCACTCCTTCCCTGTGTGAATCTCAGAAAATTCTTTTTCCTGGGATATCATAAAAACTCCAGCCCAGCAGTGCCCAAAGGGGAAGAGGACGCCCCACTTCATCCAATATCTACTCAAAAACAGAAAAATATACATTCTTTTAAGGTGAACACGAACAATCACCAAGAAAGACATGTTCTGGGTTATAAAACAAATTAATATATTTAAAAGAAATGAAATAATACAAACCATACTATTTGACCATAACAAAATAATATTAGTAGGGATTCCAAGATGGTGGCAGATTGAGTGGAAGCCTCAATGACACCCTCCCAGGACCAAACTGAAATTACAACTGAAATATAGAAAAACCATCCTGAATAATCAACTGAAGACTAGCTGGAGAGCACCCCCATGACCAAGGACATAAAGTGGAGACTGCAGAGGGACTGGTAGAAAGTGCAGAGGCGCAAGAGGGCTGGCCTGGCTCCCACAGGCAGCAGCTGAAGGTCTGGAGGGATATCTCAGCTGTGGGGGGTTCCCACTGAGAACTCTGAGGCCTAAACCCAAGCTGGGTTTCCCAGCCCACAGCACTGAGAAAGGTACCCACATAACATCTGGCTGTGAAAAGCAGCCGGGTTTCTGTCTGCCAGGGAGAGACAGCTGGAAGTGCAGGTACCCTCTTAAGGAGATAGAGCTCAGAGGGCAGCCNTCTGGCTGTGAAAAGCAGCCGGGTTTCTGTCTGCCAGGGAGAGACAGCTGAAGTGCAGGTACCCTCTTAAGGAGATAGAGCTCAGAGGGCAGCAATCTAGATTCCTGTGCTGAGTAATTCCCCCAATACTGCAGAGGATATCTTTCTCAGGCAGACCTTTGACAGCCAGGCAGCTTTTCCCTGGGGGGCAAAGGGGGGGAGCAACTACCCCACCCACTGACACACCTCTCGCCCCACCCTGTGAAGTTTACATCTTGTGGTCCACAGCCTGAGGCTCATTAAGACACTCAGATCAATCAGCCTGCAGGCAGAGATGGACCTCTGGGTGCTTTGAGTCTCTGCCTTATCTGCTTCTGGACCCTGGCCTTGGAAAAGTAGAATTTGGTGTGTATCTTGGTCCTATCCAAACATACTGAGTCCCAGCAGAGAAAATAACAAGCCAGTCCAGCAGAGTGAACCAACAAGCTGTGGGTTGTTGACAGCTCCAAAGAGGGTAATCAAGGCCAGTAACAAACAGCAGCTGACATTGGCCTGTAAAAGAGACCCTCTAAAAAGACAGAGTCCTAGCAGATCTACCTAATGCACAGAAACAAACCCAAAGAGGCAGCCAAAATGGGGAGACAAAAAAACAAGCCCCAAATGAAAGAACAAGAGAAAGCTCCAGAAGAAGAGAGAAATGAAGATAAGCAATCTATCAGATACAGAGTTCAGAATACTGATTGTAAGGATGCTCAATAGCATGAAAAAAGATAT